GCAATCCTGAGCAAGAAGAGTGAAGCAGCAGGCACCACAATACCTAATCTCAGATAATACTACAGAGCTATAGTAATAAAAGCAGTGTGGTATTGGCACTGTAATATACATGAACACCAATGGAATAGAATATATAAGACTGAGAAACAAACCCACATACTTACAGATAACACTTGACAAAGGTGACAAAAATATATTTTGGAGAAAAGACAACCTTTTTACAAATGGTGCTGGAAAAACTGTATGGCTATATATAAGAAATGAAATTAGGTCCATATCTCTCACTCTGTACAAAAGTCAAGTCGAAATGGACTTAGAAATTAGACCACAAACCTTGCAACTGCTAGAAGAGAACATAGGTCAACACTTTATCGTATTGTTGCTGACTCTGACTTCCTTAATAAGACCCCTTAGGTGGAAGAAATAAAACCAAGAATATATAAGTGAAACAGCATCAAATTAACAAGGTTTTGCAAGCAAAGAAGACAAGAATGTGAAGAGAGCCTAAAGAATGGAAGATCTTTACTAGCTGTTCCTCTGACAGGTGATTAATATCCAGAATATATAAAGAACTCAAAAAACTCAACACCAAAAAACAAATAACCCAATCAATATATGAACAAAAGTAATAAACAGAAACTAGTGAAAACAAACACAAATAGCCAACAAATACATTAAAAATGTTCAACATCCTTAGCAATTATGGAAATGCAAGTCAAAACTAAATTGAGATTTCATCTCACTATAATTATAATGGCAATGATAAAGAATACAAACAATAATAAATGCTGGTGAGGATGTGGGAGAAAAGGTACACTTGTACATTGTTGGTGGAACTGCAGACTAGCACAAGCACTCTGGAAAGCAGTATAGAGATTCCTCAAAAAACTAGGCATAAAATCACCATATGGTTCAGCTATCCCATTCCTTGGTATTTTTCCAAATGAACTGAAATCATCATATTATAGCAATACAGCCATCTCAATGTTTATAGCATCACAATTCACAATAGCTAAATTATGGAATCAACTCAGATGTCTGTCAATAGATTAATGATTTAAGAAACTGCCATTATATACACCACAGAGCTCTACTCGACTATAAAGAATGAAATTATGGAATTTGCTTGTAAATGGATGGGACTGAAGGTTATCATGCTAAGTGAAATAAGCCAGGCTCAGAAACTCAAAGGTTGAATGCTTTTTCTCATATGTAGAAGCTACAGTAAAATAAAGGAGGGAAGGGCTAGGGTTGTGGCTCAGCAGTAGAATGCTCACCTTGCACATGCAAGACCCTGGGTTCGATCCTCAGCACCACATAAAAATAAATGAATAAAGGTATTGTGTCCAACTACAACTAAAAAATAAATTTAAAAAAAATAAAGGAGGGAAGAACAGGATATCATATGGACAGAGGGAAGATCAGTGATATAGTAGAAGGAGATCTAGAATTAGAGTAGAAGGGTAGAAAAGGGGAGGCAGGGCTGGGGATACACCTCAGTTGGTAGAGTGCTTGCCTTGCATGCACAAGGCCCTGGGTTCAATCCCCAGCACCACTAGAAAAGAAAAAAAAAGTGGGAAAAAGGGAAGGTAATGCAGAATGAATTGTTAAAAAATCATGTTATGTAAATATAATCATTATGGTTTTGATAAAATAATAGTAATTTGTTTTATTTTCATTTCATAATCATTACTTTAATATTATTTAACAGAATGTTAAATATGGCATAGTTGATATGTATATAGTCTTAGAGGCAAATACCTGTGTTCATCTCAATTTTATTTGTTTCTATCAAATATATTTGGACTACCATTTTAAACCATAAGCCTTAAGTTGTTTGTATTCGTAACACATGGCTTATAAAAACAATCTTGTAGTGTGAACATAAAGATATGAAAATGCTTGATATTTGTTGGGTCTAAAATAAAAGCTACTTTTCTCTTTTAAAAAATCATGTTATGTGCATATACAAATGTACCACAGGGAATTCGACATATATGTGTAAGTACAGAGAACCAATAAAAAATAAATAGATGAGTGAAAGTAAGTCTAGCAGAGTAGAGGAAGGAGAATGGAGGGAGGGGAGGGAGGATGGGAAGGAACAGGGGGATCATGAAATGAAATTGAATATCATGTACGTATGACAGGATGAACCCAACTGCTATGTATAACTGTATTGCTTTAATAAAAAAAGATCTACCTTCAGCATACACCATGCAAATGGCAACCAAGAGAGTATGTGAGGCAATAGTTATATCTAATGAAATAGATTTCAAGTCAAAAGCTATTGCAAAAGCAATAAATATCATTATATAATGCTAAAGGAGTCGATTAATAAAGAGGACATGATAATTGTAAATTTTACATTAGAGCACCTAAATGTATAAATCAAATATTACTAGAATTGCAGGACAAATAAACAGCAATACAATATTAAAAGACTTCAACACCATACTCTCCCAAATGAACAGATTGTGCAAACAGAAAATCAGTAAGAAAACAGTGAATTTGAACAACATGCTTAGTCCTGAGTTTCCCCTTGTCTTGCCATAGTAGACCATGTCCTCCTACTCTGCTTTTTTTTAAAAGAGAGAGAGAATTTTAATATTTATTTTTTTAGTTTTTGGTGGACACAACATCTTTGTTTGTATGTGGTGCTGAGGATGGAACCCGGGCCGCATGCATGCCAGGCGAGCGCGCTACATCTTGAGCCACATCCCCAGCCCCAGTGGTACTCTGGTGTCCTTGCCCCCTCATATTGTTAACATGGCAGATAACATGCCCCTTTTAAAACGTGACAAATTGCATCCTTACTCTGATCTAAACCTCCTTTTGGCTCCCCTATCACCCTACTGAAAAGCCCAAATCATTCCAATAGTCCACAAGGTGCTACTCTGCCCGGCACTCAAACAGGACATACATAAAAAAAGGTTATTGTCTGTTGCCTGTTTTGTAACCTGTGCAGAATAAGGGCCTGGCTCACAACAGATGTTTAATAAGTGTCCTGGGATGAATAATTTCAAACTCAGAACAGCAAAAGGGAAAAGCAAAATGATTTTTGAACTATTATGTACATTTATAAGACTGACTACATAGAAACACTGTATTTTTTTTTTTTTGACAGTGCTAGGGATAAAACCCAGGGCCTCACACATACCAGGTAAGTATTCTACCACTAAGCCACATCTCTAACCCTTTAAATAATTATTACATGGGACCTGATTAAATGACATATTAGATTCATTACATTAAAAAATTCCACATTCAAATTAGTTTGGGAAATCCTGCCTCTTTTTACTGTCTTGGAGAGATTTATATTATACTATCAAAGTTCTTAGAATTCTTAGAGCAAATAAAAATGTTTAAATTTGCAATAGATACTACTTTTATAATAAAAACAGTAATAAGAGTATTGTATTTTTTGAAAGAAAAATTAAGGCAAAGACAATTTAAGACAGAATATAATTTAATAATTTAATTTTAACATCATTTTAAGCAAACAACACATTTTCCATTGTCTTGAAATCTGGAAAACCAAACACCACAATTGCCCTAATCAGTCTTCTAGTTCTTCAGTGGACTGGTTCACCTATAAGAATACTGACAAAAGATAAAATGGTAAATGCTGAAGTATACAGTCCTATACACTCTCTTGGTCTGCATGGAATTACCATGTAATTTTTCTAAGACTGAATTTTTAGACAGTTGCTTCTTTTAATATGAATCAAATTATTTCATACAGGGGCTGGTGTTGTAGCTCAGTAGTAGAGTTCTTGACTGGCATGTGTGAGGCACTAGGTTTCATCCTCAGCACCACATAGAAATAAATAAATAAAGGTGCACTGGTGACTAAAAATTTTTTTTTAAATTATTTCATACAAATTAGTGCTTTGATGACTTGAGAAAACAGTAAGAGTGTGTTTCTAATACAGTGGGATTGGACGTAGTGATAGAGAAGTATGATCAGATAGTTTTTCTTCTTTCATTTAAAAGTAAGATTTTAAAAATGTACCGATCAAACAATATAGTTACAGAAAGATTGCAAGTTCAGATAAAATGATAAAAATGAAAATAACAATAATTGAAACAATCTATTCACTATCACATGGAGATAAAATGTCTAATACTTTTATCAAGTCCTGTACGTTTAGTTTTAAATTACAAATTGGATTAAACTGCCTTATCTTCTATTATAATCTGTTTTCCATTCAATATCATTCCATAAATGTGACCATATAATCATTCTCTACATAAACATTTTATGACTAAATAGTACTCATAGTATAAATGCACAATAGTTTTTTTATCCATTCCTAGAATAACAGACATTTAAGTTGTCTCCACTTTTTTCAATATTATAAACAATACTAAAATTTCCTTGTATGTATATTTTTGTATTCTTAGTGCCAGTCAGTCCTCTGCCTCTACAGTACTGGGAGATTATCCAGGTTTCCATGATGATTGCCTCAGGTAATAAGCTAGTGTAGAGATGAGCATAGAGGATATTTGCAATCCTTACTGTGAAATGCAATAAAAATCAAGGAGTATTATTGAGAGTCTTCCTTTATTTCTGTAACATTTAGAATTTTAAAATTTTTTTCTGTTGGATTAATTTGGTTTCTTTCATCAAAGGAATTATGTGTCTTATTTCTCTTTCTAGCAACCAAGTCAGACAGAAAAGGACAAGTGGTCATTTCTTGGTAAATACTGGTTCAATTAACAAATTTAGTTTAACTATATCTTTTTCCTTGGGAATCTCCTTGGCTTAATACGATTTATATACATAAATATTTTGTTAAATTTTCAGGCAACTGAGAACACAATTATACATGGTTACTTAGCCAAGGAAAGAAAATTAGGAGTTAAATTAAGTTTTGTTCCCCAAATCTTTTTCCTTAAAACTGTCCCTTAATTACAAATGTACAGCTGTTAGGGAACCTAAGTGTTTCTGTACCCCACCCCTAAAGTTCTCCCCTCTTGTCATTCCTACAGTATCTTACGTTAGGCAACAGAGGGTCCCCATTAGTGCTACGGTGATAAGAAAAGCAAAAATGGCTGCTGGAGGTATGGAGCTCATGATGAGGTCCCACAGGTAATCCCAGAAGTCGCTCAGCCAAGACCTCTGGTCTCCTGTAGAAAGAGCAAGACATTCACTGCAGAAAGGTCAAGTAAATGATGGGGTTGGGATTTGAATCTTAGTTTGAGCCCCAACAGTTATCCAAGATATGTTCCTACAGTTTCTCAGAATGTCTTACATATTTTGCTGTGCTGCTTCTAAGATGTTCAAAGAGTACACATTATTTTAAAGAGGTATCCTCAGGTGGATATCATGTTTGCATCCTTATAGATCAAATATGAACAATCAACTGCCCTAGATAACTCTGCCAATAGATATCTGCTCTAGATATCAATCTCTATCCTACATATCTGAAGGGTTGAATTTATGGGGTACTTTGTGAAAGAGGAGCATAAACTGAACACAAGAAAATGAAAATCTTCACTAACATATTGTTTCCCAGAGTATGTCTGGGAGTTCTGGAGTACTTCAGGAGGCCTGGGGGAATTAATATCCCAGGATGAGAAAAGAGAAACCCAGCAGCCCTGGGAGCAGAGGAGGAAAAGGCTAGGGCAACTGGAAAGAGAAACTTTGGGGGTATCTGCTGATCAAAGTAAAGCTTGAGATGTTGGATATTTCCTTTAGAAAATGGGGACAGAAGAGTGAGTATATTGTGATTTTACTCTAAGGAAAGAGGCAGGGGAAAACAAAAGTGGCTTCACACTTAGTTGAAAAAGTCCACCAGTCACTACAACCCTTTGCAGAACTGGAGCTGCAGCATGCATGTTGAAAGCATGGCTTTGGGAGCCTCTAGGAAGATCAGTGGACCATCATGTTTGCTTATTTCAAGTTTAACCTCCTTGTCAAATCTTCCCTTATGCCTGCCCAAACAACTTTAATTATCCCCATGTTCTTTGGGAGCATTTGTTAAATTCCATGGAAGGTTAGCATCTATGGTTTTGTCTACCCTACAAAGGGCTTGGTAGAAACTAGTTAATGCTTGTTAAACTAAACTTAACCAAACCAGTATAGTTAGCTTTCTTGTGAACATTATTTCAAAACATGAAATCAGTTCTTCCTGACCTGCAACATGAGTCTTATGTCTTACGAAGATAGGAACATTCATCCTAACAGCAAACACACCCCTTGAGCGTGGTTTCAGTCCTGCGTTTTCTTGAATTCCAAAATCATATAATGGCGAAGGAGGGGAAGCTGCTGTCGCCAACAAGGAGCAAGTCAGTGAACACAACAGAAATACAATGCTCAGCAGCTTCTGGGGCTCCATGGACTCTTACTCTGCCAAAGGGAAATTTCTTTGTCCTTAGTTCTTTCCACAGCAGCTTTGTCTGAAAAGTTAGAAAGCAAGGGTTTAGTTCTTCTTCTTTTTTTTTTGAGAGGGAAGGTGGTTAGTTCTTATTGAAAAAAGCTTCCCACCTTTCACACAGATAATTCACTGACTTATGTGGATGAATCCTGAACATGCTCAGTGGTCCAAAGTAAAACGTATTCCCACTCTAACATCAAAGCAAAACAAACCTTACTATACTGTGTCAGGTCAGATGTCTATACTGCTCCCCTATGAACCTTCCAAAACTTACTCAATGGGAAACTTTTCAGCTGTTCAAGCCAGTGCTTGTGCATCATCTTTGACTCTTTCACTTCCTCACCTTACCTACCAGAAAAAATCCTGTCAGATGTATCTATAAAATATATCCAGAATCCTTCCACTTAACATTACTTCTACTGGTACCCACCATCACCTCTGCCTCCCTTCACTCCCTTCTCTACTGAGAAGCCAAACAGATCTCATTAAATTGTAGGTCAGATTATGATCCTAGTTACTTCTCTGACTTCATAGTCTTCTCTTGATCATTTGGATTCACCCTCATTTTTACTATAATAATAATAAACCCCTATTTGATCCATTATATTTTGGGCTATTACCAAAGACATTCATAAGTGATACATTCATTTACTTGCTGATATACCTTAATCATGCCTGGTGGGGAGCCACTTACCTGAAAGTTAACTGAACACCAAGGTATCCAGAGAAGCCATAGAATTGGACCTCAGCACTCAAGAGTACAGCGGTCTTAAGAAGGTTGCCAGAGTCTTTCCTTTAGGCCTATGGAGTTCCAGACAGAATTCTACCACTCTTTATTATATCATCAACTGTATTTGACTCTCTATTCAACAGCTAAGCACCCAGACATCTTTTTTCTATCCCTGCATGTACATCTGGGTTGATACTGAAAACCATTCTTACTGTAGTTATACTTTCTTAGGCTTGAAGAATTCTAAGACATTTTGTTTGCCACAAGGTATTTGCTACATCTTATAATAGTGTATATATGGGACTTTAATACATGATACACGATAAATATGGCCTTTCCTATCATATGGGGCTGGGGGTGTATGGTACTTGCATAGTATGAATGAGGTCTTGGGTTTGATCCCCAGTGCTGCAAAACAATTCTATATGGAGTCAGGACTATATGGATAAAATATGAATGGATATTTTTATAATCTTGGTATAGAAAAATATATTCTAAGCATGTGTTCATCACTGTCCAAAATACCTGATAAGAGCAACCTAGAGTAGGAAAAGCTTATTTTGTGCTCACAGTTTCAGAGGTCTCAGTCCATGGTCAGGTGACTCTATTGCTTTACATCTGAGGTGGGACAGAGCATCATGGCAGAAAGGCATAGTGGAACAAAGCTGCTGAGTTTATGACAGCCAGGAAGAGGGAGGGAGGGAAAAGGGAAGAGAGGGAAAGAGAGAGAGAGAGAGGGAGAATGTGGGGGAGAGGAAGGAAGGAAGGAAGAAAGGAAGGAAGGAGGAAGAGTAGGAGGGGGAGGAAGAAGAGGAAGAGGAAGAGGGGAGGGGAGGAGAGAGGAGAGGAGAGGGAGAGGGGAAAAGGCAAGAGACTAGATAAACCCTTTCAGGGCATGCCCCAGTGAACAATGACCCATCCTTCAGTATTCGATTGAACTATCGACCGATTAATCCAACATATTAATTAATCCACTAACAAGATTAGAGCCCTAATCATAACTTAAAATTCTTGGATGTACTGGTGACCATGCTTTCAAAACATGAGCTTTTTTGGGGGGGGCAATAAAGAGCCATACCACAGCACATGATAAAATCCAAAGCCATAAATAAATATGCAGATAAACTTAACATATAAAAATGTAAACCTTTCATGCAGCAAAACAGTGTAAAAAGATAAAATATTAATGACAGATAAATTGAATTTCATAACATATATAACAGACGCTTATAAATTATTATTTAAATATTTATCTTTTTAGTTGAAGTTGGACACAATACCTTTATTTCACATATTTATTTTTATGTGGTGCTGAGGATTGAACCCAGGGCCTCGCACGTGCTAGGTGAACGCTCTACCCCTGAGCCACAACCCCAGCCCATAAATTATTTTTTTTTAAAGTTTTCCATGTAACGGGCTGGAGTTGTGGCTCAGTGGTAGAGTGCTCACCTAGCACGTGCAAGGCCCTGGGTTCAATCCTCAGCACCACAAAAAAATAAGTAAATAAAATAAAGATATTATGACCAACTACAACTAAAAAGTAAATTTTTTTTTAAAAAAAAGTTTTCTGCCTAAGAGCTGGGCATTGTGGTGCATGCCTGTAATCTCGGCAGCTTGGGAGGCTGAGTCAGAAGGATTGCGAGTTCAAAGCCAGCCTCAGCAACAGTGAGGTGCTTAGCAACTCAGTGAGATCCTGTGTCTAAAAAAAATATAAAATACAGCTGGGGATGTGGCTCAGTGGTTGAGTGCCCCTGAGTTCAATCCCTGGTACCAAAAAAAAAAAAAAAAAGATTCTATGGAAGAATTAGCAAAAATTAAAAATCAGGATCCTATAAAAAAAAGAGCCAACTGTGTGTGTGTATATATACATATACATATACATATATATATATATATATATATGATTTCTTTATAAGAATTTGACCTTATAGAATTGTACAACTTGTTTTTACAGTCTATAGGAAGCTGTTGCTTCTGTGTCTGATGCTGTCACCATTCATTTGAGGGTTCTTTTGCTCAATTAGGATAGAAATCACAAATAAGCAAAGTGTAGATCCATTTGTGTTTGCAGCTCTCCCTACTGGTCTCTTAGCAAATGGAACCAGCAGCTATTGGCAGCTGTATGGAACTCTTCCAGCAACCAGAGCTAGCAGCTCCCACAGTTGTCCATTGCTCCCTACCAGTCCCCATTGCTCTCTGGCTGTCAGCTGTTCTCACTTTTCCTTGCCCTGAGTGCTGGCCTGTTTCAGTACCAGCAGGCTTTGCTGTTACCAGCTCTTAGTGCCATCAGCTTAGCCTGCTCTATTCAAGATGGAAATCAAGAATAGACAAGATAAAAACATCTGAAAGAAGCCTTATTAGGACTTGTGCTGCAGCATAAGAGGAGTCAGTACATGGACTGATCCAATGATAGATGAAGTATGCTTCTATAGACAGAATGGTAGGCTCACACATGTGCAGTGTCCTGTTGGCTTACAACAGACTTTGTATTTAGTCATGGAACACAGTGGGACATCTAAGCAGCTACAAAGGTGCAGAGATATCCAGAGAGGCTGCAGGGCCATTCATCGGGAACACAGCTAGGATGGAAGAAAAGTACCTTTTGGGGGAACATTTAACCCTTCTCTTCTGAGTGCTAGGGCTTAAAAGTCCACAGGATTGATAAGAATGGAAGATAGGGTGAAGTTTAAGAAAACTTAAAACACTGGCAGTTTGCAGGTATAAGCTGGAGCCCATAAGATGGGCTAAAATCTGCATTAGTTGCAAAGTTGGAAGCTTAGGGTACTATGAATGAGAAGTTGACCTACTTCATCAAAGAGCTAAACACACACCTTTCCTAGGATTTGGAAAAGTTTAAGGATCCAGAAAGAGCTGGAGAACCTGCAAACTTGGTCATCGCCTTACGCCCATAAGTTAAGACAATAGATAGTGAGAATGTATATAAGCTAAAAATTGGTATTTTGTGCTTCTTTTCAAGTATAAAAAGAATATGGCTACTGTATAAGTTATCTATTGTTGCATGAAAAGGTAGCCCCAACTTAGCAACTGAAAATAAAAATTGACTCTTATAGTTTCTGTAGCTCAGGAAGTTTGGAGTGGATTAGCTGAGTGGATCTGGCATAGGGGCGGAGAGCTTTTGAAGAGGTTGCACTCACATGCCATTTGAAGGCTCAGGTGACCATACCCTAAAGGAACCTCTATACTACATTTATTTAGTGTGTTCATGCACATGCTCCATTGTCCTATCAAACCTCACTTAAAGATACAAGAATAAAGATAAAAATTACTAAAAATTTTCAGATAGTGATATGAGAACATTAAAGTAAGCATGAAGCCTTTTAGTGACTGTTTTAAATTTGGGGTGACTAGAAGCAGATTCTGAGATGAAGATTCCAGTGCATGTATTTATTGAAGGCATGTGCTCAGAGGAAAACTGTAAGAGAATGCAGGAAGGACAAAGGAAAGAACTACAAAAAATTTCGATTTCAGATGATATGCAGCTTTAGCTTGATTTCATGGAGTTCACTGGTGCATAATTTGTACCTCAGACCTGACCTTCCTTGAGATAAGGGATTCAGACTTCGTAACCTGTCCCAACTTGGTACTTGGCCATGATCTTCCAGGGGTGAGAGCAGGCTCTGTAACCTTCTGGGACCTCTGAGTCATGTCTGGTATCTTCCAGTTCATTGATCCTTCCCCAAAAGATCAAACTCCAGGCTTCTGGTAGTGCTGAGTAGGATTAAACTACTTCTCAAACAATCCAGACAGTTTCTCAAATAGTTTTTTTTTTAGGTTTAACATTAACATTTACCTTGATTTCAAGAATTACTCAAAGTCACAGACTGCTTTCCCCACAACCTTTTTGAGGATTCTATAGTGTAAATCTAGTTATTTCTTAGACTTGGATTCAGTTTTCTAGGGTTTTCCGAGTTATTTGCCACTTACATGTCTTCATATAAATGGCTTCAGGGCAGTATCTAGTAGGACTGTATAGTTTAAATTCATAGAAAAATAATGGAACCATAGACAGTGTAGGGTAGTATGTAACCCAGAAGCCTGAGAGGGTTATTGGCCTTAAGTTATGAATTGTCTTGGAGCTAACAAGGGAAGAGAGGGGACCAACAGGGACTGTCATGAGCCCCTCAGTAGACCTGCTGGGCCTCACATCCCAGAACCTCCAACCTCAGGGCAATCTGGTGTGTCCAGCTCTGGGGGTGAATTCTAAGGTAGCGAGTCAGTAATGGTGGGTCTAGAGAGTTCACCACAGGTGTGAAGGAGTCTTGATTTCCCTGAAAAACCTGAAAGAGGAAAGATAGCATTTATTAGTTGTGTGACAAGAAAACAATTACAATGTTTATACCACTCCTCCTCAAGGCCATTATCCTACTTAAGTCTCTCACACATATTTCCTTTTCCAACATGGCCCTTATCCTCCTTGGCATCCACAACAATGTCTACCACAAAGCACAGGAATTATTGTCACTTCCAATTGAACCCTGGGAAGTGACTAGAAGACTCTGTTGCATGAATGTGGGCCAGGGAAAGTGGGTGATGTGTACAAGTAAGAGCATCCTAATTGGGGCTGGGGTTGTGGCTTGGTGGTAGAGCGCTTGCCTCTCATGTGTGGGGCACTGGGTTTAATCCCTAGCACCACATTAATAAATAAAATAAAGGTATTGTGTCCATTTACAACTAATTTTTTTTTAAAAGAGCTTCCTGATTGTCTGCTGTGAGGGCTTTTGCTCTAGTTATGCCTTATATTTGAAATGTTCCCAATCTCTCAAATCTCAATGAAATTTAATGCTTTGCTGAGGGTCATAAACAGCATGTATGATTAAGCCATCAGAAGACTGGAGGCAGGCCTCAGCCAGCTGACTTCTTAGTGCATTTGCCACTGCAAAAGGAGTATGCAGTAAGCACTCAATAAATGGTAGCTAGTGTTATTTCTCAGATAAGCTGTTTTCACATATGTTGGTAGCAACTTTAGAATGATAGAAAAAGCAACATAGCAAGGCAAACAATTTGATGGCCAGAGGGAGGGATACAGAAGGGAGAAGAAGAGGGAAGCGAATCCAGACTCAAGACACCTTGCCACACTGGGACTTTGGAGGTAAGCCCACCTATGAGCCAGCAGATGTTTGGGAAAATGAAAGTGTGAATATTGAAAAGTATAATTCATAGCAACTCTGAAATGCTGTGGGGTGGTTTTGGTGTGTGGGGGTTCCATAGTAATCTTAGGGTAGAGACCCCAGGCAAATGCAGAGAATAAGCAAGAGTCTTGGAAAACAAGAACCATATAAACAGGTGACTTCTCATCCCAGTACGTGCTCTTGTGAGGACAACCAGATTAGATGTTATCCGGAAGATCTGCAGAGATAGTCTCTGTGCAAACAAGGGACTTTGTGGGCCAAGGTAAGGGGAAAGAAGTGGTGAAACAGCAACCAAAGGGCTCCAGCTCCCTGGGGCTGCTAGAAGGACATTTCTCTGTAATCATCCTGCCTGCTCTATCTCTGCAAACTGTGTTGTGTTTCACTTCACATTCCAAGCAGGAAGGGACTTTTCCTGGCAAATGTGGTTTAAAATGTTTCTCTCAGTGTCCTGCAGTACAGATAAAAACACTAATCCCACAGAGGAAATCAGAACAAAATGGTAGGAAAAAAAGTACAACGTGAGTGCAGACCTGGGGCACTAAAATCAGAGAGGGGGAGAGAGAGGGGGGAGAGAGGAGGAGAGAGGGG